GGGGGGGCCGGGGAGCTTCGCGCCTCGTTGTCCGGTGGAATAGGAGCGGTTCCTCCTGGGGACGGAGGCGGTTCTGCCTGTTCGTTCAGTTTCTCTTCTTAAAGTACAGCTCTCCTCGTGGAAAGAGCAGGCTGGCAGGGTCTTGGGTGATGTCCCCGCCTGCTTTCGCTTTACAGGCGAAGGGTAGCTGGGTGAAGAGGGGCATCCCTGTTGAGGGACGGTGAGCGCAGTTTAAAGGCACCGCCAACCAGTTGGGAGTGGGTCTCAGGTCGGCAATAAAACTAGCCAAAAAGCTGCACCTAATTAAGCTGAAAAACTGGGTGAGTTCTTAGAGCAGCAATTTGTGCGTTAGTACAGGGGAATCTGGCAAAGGAAATGAACAAAGTAGGATTTTTGGCACAGGTGAAAACAGAACCATGATGAAATACTGGAGGAGACTGGAATACAGGTGTTGCAGGCTGCGTTGGTTTGGAAGAAGGGAGTACAGATGAGTGGTGAGATAGTCTTATATGCTAGTGATGCTTTCAACTTCTAAGAAATTCCAGCTTTAAATCCTGGTGTTTCACCTGGCAGGGACATTACTCCACCCTCCTTAAATAAATCTGTGCTCCAGCAACTTACAAGTGAGAGTGGGTTGGGCTGTAAACTGTTCCAGTGAGTGGTTTTAGGAGCTTTTGCATTTCTCGAGGAATCCCTTAATTCCCCTGCTGTCTTACACTGCGTGTAAGCATACTGGAAGCCAGCTCTGGAAAAAGCAGACTGAGGGGAGGATTATTGTCATAACAGTTAAGTCTGCTCTGGGCTCCAAAGGTCAGGTGCTCTTCTGAGGCAGCGTTTTCTGAGAGGTGTTATTGTGGACTATGGGAAACATTTAATTTCCTGGATATTGGTGCGTGATCAAATGCTACTACTGCTAATAATACCAGTTATCTGTTAGCACGTGTATCCTGGAATTTTTATCATAGAAACCAAAACAAATCGTAAGATTACTACTACATTTTGTTCTTTGAATAATTGATATTTTGTAAAAGAACTTGTGATAGAAGTAAGTGTTGATCACATGATTGCACTACAACAAGTAGGAGACTATTTCCCCAAATTCTAAGCACAATTTTTGAGCCAACAACTCTGAGTGAAGTCAGAAGGCAGAAAACACTGGTTGTGTGAACTCTAGATGAGATTATATGAGGGTTTTAGCCACCTCCCCCCACAAAACCCCACATTTTTTCTAAAACTACTTTTTTTTTTTCCCCTCCAGTGCCTGTATGCTACAGTTTATAGTTCGGAAAAGTATAAAGTGACCATTGCCAGGATACAAGCTAGGTTATGTTTTATGATGAAAATTAAATAGTAAAAAGTTCTTTAGAAGAGCAAAGAGGGTGAAGTGACATCTTCGTGCAGCAAAAATGGGTAATAAATTAGAGATAATTTTAAGATTGCGTAAATTTCAGCAAATACTCTGATTTGGTTTTCAGTATGTCTGTTTCCTACGTGATAGTTAAAAGGTGGGGAAAGTTTGACATTATCAGGTCAAATACATGAACAAACTGTATTTTGTATACTCAGGGTGGAGAAATAGAGTAACTTCATCTCACAGCGTTGGAAAAACTGTACATGAAGTTGCAAATCCAGTAACATTTGTTGTTACGATATCAATAGAAGCATTGAATTGGGGATTGTGTGTTATGACTGGAAAATGTTAAATGAGGGATGTCCACTTAGGAAAGTGGAAACTACCCTGGAAAAAGTGCAGACCAGTTACTGCTCGTGCTATCGATATCTGATTTCTTTAGAATAGATTTTGAAGAAAATAAGCAAAAAGGTAGAAGTAAATGGGATAAAATGCAGTGTGGATTTACCTTTTGATATATGTTTTCATTCTTTCACAGGTATTTTCTAAACAGAGGAAGTCTAGATAGAGAGTCCGTATTCAATAAAACAGTTACAGTGGCAACGAGATCCAGTTTGTTAAAATGGCGATGACAGGATTAATACAAGAGTCAGGCTAGTAACTAGCTTGATAGAAATCAATGGTGGGTTCCGCTAAGGGGACTTTTAGAAACTACATCTGTATGTGATTTATCCACAATCAACTTTGCAGTCTGTCTTATGTTTTTGTTATATGTTTATACTATAATTGCATTAATTAACTATTATTTACATGATTATATAATATTTTTATGTGGAGTTCTTAGTGTATAAAATGGTAGATGCTACTAAAGATTGACAATATTTTTGGGGAGAAGAAATGAAGTTTGAGAAGGGAGGTGAAGCGTAAGTAACGTGAACATTCAAAGTCATTCACTTACAAGCTGCTAACAGGAACTTGTGTTCGAATGACCAGGTTTGTCTGAAATAATGAGGTGTAAACCTGAATATGGAATCACAGAATCGTAGAACAGCCCAGGTTGGAAAGGACCTGGAAGGATCATCTGGTCCAACCCTTTGTGGAAAAGGGAGCCTAGATGAGATTATATCTAGCACGCTGTCCAGTTGTGACTTGAAAACCTCCAGATGGTATGTTAGTGAATTGCAGGGTGACCAAGGGCCATCAGGGCGACTCAGTTTAACTTGCCTTTTAATAGCTGTGACAGGTGAGGTGTGTTTCCAGTTGAGTTAAAAGTTAATGCAATTATACAAGGCTTTCAAAATATCTCATCACTGAACTTGTGAACTTACTGTATGTGAATTAACCTGACGGTTGAATTGAGTGGGAGGAAACTTATGTCTGGGAGGTAGGACCTACTGTTTGTTTTACAAAAGAAGAGTTAAAAAACCCCAAACAAACCCTCTTAACTTTTGTAAATAGTTGTTCTTTATAAACATTTTGAAATGGGAAGGAATGAACACCAAAAAAGTGCCTATTAAAATAACATTCAGTGTTAGCATGAGAACATATGGGTTTTTCAGTAACCTTTGAATATACTTATATTTGGTGCTAGAAAGGTTTAACAGCCAGAAGCCATCTTGCTCCTACTTGTGTTTCTTTGGCAGCATTGCTTCTAATTAGTTTCAAGATGAAATTTAATAGTTTAATAAACAGGATTATATGATGTTGAGAGGACAATATTTCATTGACTCCAACTTTTGGGGCTTTTTTCCCCCCCTTTCCTTTTCTGATGATAGTTGTCAGGGAAAGTGGTGGTTGTGACAGCATCCCCAGAAAGGCAAATTGAATACATTATGATGAGGATGCATAGGGTTTGCAGATTAGTGATGAAGATACTGGAGTATGAAAGTGTTCAGAGAAAGTAAAATTTATCAAGCACCGTGGTCATAAAATGGGCTTTTTAGTACTTTTCTAATTCTTGTGAGAGTAGATTATTTATCGTAAAAAGCTTGAGGTTGAAAAAATTGCCTGTTGTACCTAAGGAGATTTTGCTTGGCTCATCTAGCTTACCCAGATGTTCACGGTAGATGAACTACAGTGAACTGGTTTGTGAGCTTAGAGGCAGTAACTTTCCATTTCCTGGAGGCAGCAAAATGAAAGCGATTTGAAGGTCTGATGTGTTTCTGAAAGAGCACCAAGTATGCTGAGGCTGCAGGGCTGTGCCCTTGTACACACGGACTCCTAGGGCGTGCTTTGGGGCTGTGGACTTTGTCCATACAGAAGGATAAGCAGTGGCCAAAGCTAGCAGCTACTGAGATGTGTGTATGCAGATTTTTTGCTCTAAAAATGGAGTAAGTATCTGTAAAAGCGATGTCTCTCTGTGTAGAACAGGCTGTTCACGACTGGAATCAAAGAGAACCAAAGATTTCTGAGGGAGAGATGCAAAACGATAGATGCTTAAAGAGACTGGGAGTCTTGCTTGTTTTAGCATCATGTGCCATATACTGCTTATACTGTGTGGAGTTTTTGATGTTGACTGCAGGAATTCTGTATTTTCCATTGCTGTGCTGGAGTGTGTTTTAAAAAAAAGAAAAAAAAGCAGTACAACTTTTCTGAAATTAAGGTGAGGACTGCAATGCACTCATTCAGGATTCCTGTGGATCAAAGGCATTTCTTGAATTTTATTTTTTTTGTCTACATGCATATATACACCTTTCTGTGTAAGGCAAGGTAAAGCAGTACAAAAATTATACTCTTATTATTAACAGCTGGAGACTGTTCATACTACCATTATGAAGTCAAACCCCTCAGGTCTGGAAGGTAAACAAAGTAAAATGGTCAGACTCTCAGTAGCCTTGAAAAAAATCAGGAAAATACCATCTTGAAATTATTTGCATTTGACATTTGGAAATATTTTGAAAACCCTTCTATTCTCTTTCAAATCAAAAGATGGGGCAAAATGGAAATCTGCTCAATACTGGGAAAAATTCAATGTAATCCTGCTTTTACTATGTCTCCTCCTGATCCGAGAATAAGATTAGCGTTTCAAACTACAGAAATCTGTTTGTGCAGTGGTCTGTTTGCTATTAGAGCCTCTGCATCCTGTGTTCCTCATATGTAGAATGTGTTTTATATTTAACTACCTCCCATGGTGTTAATGACTAATATTTGTAAAGCTCTGTGAAGAGAAAAGCTGTATTTCTGCCAAGCATTAGTAAGAAATGGGAAAACATTCTTACTCGCAAGATATTTAATATATTAAATCAAAGCTGTCCTATAACCTACATTAAGTGTCAATGAACAACAGAAGTGGTTTCTGGAAACCATTCTTTTCTACAGTATGTGAAAGAAAACTTAAGTGGTGCTGTCTCTTCAAACTCGTATGCTTATAAACAGTGGACATCGTTACTCCTGCTAGAACTTAATACTATGTCCTGTCAACAGTGTATTCGGGTTGGTTTTTTTCTAAAAACATTAATTATTTAATACAAACACTAATACTATTCACTTAATGTATTTATTTTTGGAAGTAAAGATTAAAGTCCTTTTAAATAGGCTGTTTCATGTGCTGATCATTCAAAAAAAATATAAATGTAACATGTTTCTTTGCTGCAGGCAAAAGTATTAGGGAGACCTTTCCTGGGATGGGATGTGTGGTAAGTGGGATTGTAAAGCTTGCTTTAAGTAGGCCGAGATGGACATCAGTTGTATTCATAGACATTAACTTGTCTGTACATTACTTTAAATATTTTAGTGGGAAATCTTTCACTTTAACTGGTTCTTCTAGCACAGATTATCTCATGAATTGCAACTCCAGAGGGATCAAAATTAACTCGGGTGCTTCAGAGTGACAGCTCTGGGGCATTTGCAGTAGTGCATACAAGCGTAGCTTTGAATTGGAGAAGCCAAACAGAATAAAACATGGGCAGAGGTCTGTGGTTGGACTCAGTAATTACTGCCGTCCTGCAAGCCCTTCTGGGACTGCCAGGTTTGAGGAGTCATAACTTGTGGAATAATCTAATGCATGTATTGTGTCAGAAAGCACTTCTTTGATCGTTGCTTACAGTTCATATTTTTCTTAAATGATGTAATATAATACTGGAGAAACTTAATTTTGATTGCTGTCCTTAAAGAGTAAAATTGAAGGCTACAGCTGTAGTCGGGGATTTCTTACAGATATAGCCCCATTTGGTAAGGTTTTGTCTTCTGAGGGTTTCTGTCTGTCGCTTTAATATCATGAGAGAGCTTCTTATGGAGAAAGTAGCATTTGTGAGTATGCCTTCTCTTTTTTTTTTTTCTTTTTCCTGACAGCACAACAAAGAGCTGGGTGAACTGTGCATTTCACCATGACCTTTATAGAACTGCTGATCTTACACTGTTTAACGGCCAGGTTTTATTCTTGTATGAGCTTATATCTTTTATTGGCCTTTTAATACAGGCTTAGCAGGTGCTGGAGAAGTAACTGCCTTTTTTTTTTTTTTTTCCTCCTTTGGAAGTACTTCAGAAAGCTTTTTGCAGTGTAGAGATAAACTGTTCAGGGGTTTTTGTTTTCTTTTTTAGGTTGTGTTGATTTGTTTAGATCTATTTAGCAATGCTGCTCTAATTTTTCTAATGTGACTTTCCTCATGCTCATCTAACGTATACTGCAGTTAATGGTGCATATATTATAACTTACTTTTGAGTCATCACGCACCTATCCAATACAGAGGTCATAGCACTTTTTTCTTAGGAAATGTCTATCATATAGTTCTGTAGACTGTGAGATTTGAAACTTTTTGAAATATGCAGTAAAAGGAATATTCAGTAAGCACAGGCAACAGATTGATGTTTACTAATAGTTAACTGTTAAAATTATTTTGTATCAACTCATACCTGAGATTTGATAAATGCATTTTTTCTTCTTTTTTTTTCCTCTTCTATAAATTTTTTGCAATTTTTGCCATTTGTTAAAAATTTAACTGTGTGGTTTTGTAGAATAACTATTATGGGAGAAAATGGGGAGCTATTTAGAATAAAATATATAAAGAGTTTTCCTTTCAGATTGACTGACAATAGCATCGTGAAATCTCTTAGAAATCGTAGTGGCTTGTTTATTCTGTGAAGAAAAGGTGGTTTCAGTTGCAAGAGTAGTGCTCCTTTCCAAAAGCAGAAATGTCCTTTAAGAGGTAGGGGGAAATCTCAAAACACCAACAGCTTTTTGTTTTCTGAGCGTGTGCGCTATGGCTTTTTGAAGTGATCTTATGCTAAACTTAGAGTAATGTAAATATTATTATATTTCCTTCATGTGATGCTCTAAAATTCTGGGTAAACTAGTGTTCAGTGGCATTTAAATTTCAATTTATGTAAATCTGTCCATTTATTTGAAAGTGATACTTGTATGAAGTCTCGGTTTTGTTTGCTTGCTGTTGGGCATGATGACAATGGTGATTTGAATCGTGTTTCTTGTAAAGCTGAAACAACTGCACTTTTTTGTGGTCGTAGCAGTGTAATACGCTGTGTGGATATTATTAATACTTTATGTTAATAGAGATAATGAAAGATAAAAATGAAGTGTATACAATGTGAATATTGTGGTGATTTTCCCTTCTTGACAGGCTGTTGAGCTTCCAGTACAGAGAAGTTGTATCATGGTAATTTTATTTATTTTTAACAATTGAAGCAAAAAGTTTAAAAATTGCACAATTCCTTCTGAATATCCTACTTACTTCATTTAAGCCTGTGTAAGGTGTGTTGCCCCTTTCCCCTCCAAAGTGTTACATCATCAGATCTGTTCTTTAAAGGGATGAGCCAAGAGGAAGGTGTCTTATTTGGGTACCTGTCTCTCAGGAGAAGTAGACTTTTGTTTTGTAGGCAGTTTGTCGTCACTTAGTTGCAATAAAACTAGTCCAAAATGTGCATATCGGATCTTTCTGAAATAGTTATCTCGTGTGTAGAAGTTTAGAAAAATGTGTATTACAAGCCCCTTTGAATTATGCGGAATTATATCTCGTCTTCTACATAGCATCCAGTGCTGGCTGAGAGAGCAGCGTCAGAAAACCAGAGTTGAATAATTCTGTGAACTAAATGAGATCTTTCAAGTAAAAAAATGGTAGTGTAACTACTCCTCTTAGTAGGTGCAGGTTAAGTGTGTACCTGAATTTATAAAATAGTATTTATGTATGCTGAGTCTTATTTGGGACATCTTGCTCCTTTGGAAGCTCATAAAGGAAGTAAGCTTTAGTTAGCGAAATACAGGATAAATACGGTCTCATCTTCTGATGTCTCCTGTTTTCTCTTGCTGCCATCCCCTGGTGGAACTGATGTGTACAAGAAATAGGGAATGTATGATGCTCAAGTTTAGGAGCTATAGGAAAGTGTGGGGATAAAGATGTGTTTTATGTACAAGGTCACACAATCTGCTGCTTTCTTCAAGAGGTAGTGATAAGCTGTGACACTTCTTGGACATTTGAGCCTAGTATTCAGAGGAGAGGAGATGTGTTGCCTTGAGAAGGCAAGCTCTTGGAATTTGATGAGATGGGTGAGAAGACTTGCAGGGCTATTGGTAAAACGGGGAGGGAAAAGCTAGTATGTTATGCTCATCTTAGAATGCAAAATGAGCAATCCCTTCAGTTGGTTAATGCGGTTTGAATGATGTAGTGCTTTTGGTCAAGGTCACCTTGTGCATGGAGTGATATTATTCTTGCAATGAGAAGGAAGCAAACCTTTTTTGCAAGGCCCTTTCTACTTAAGTATGAGGCAGAGCAACAGGCAAGGGAAGCTTAGGCTACCTGTTTTGTTAGAATACATCACACAGTATGCGAGGCATCTGTTCGCCTCCTGAAGATAACCATTAAAAGGACTTCAGTTTTGGTTTGTAGTTTTCTTGGCTTTTTTCACTGTTGCAACTCCATTGCTGTCTATTTAGTATAAAGGAGCTGTCACACGTTTTTATCATGTTGTCTAACTGGCTTGGAGCAAATTGAGACAAATGGGATAACAGCACCATTGTTCAGCTATAGCTGTGCTACAGCTCTTCATAATGCTGCAGTCCATGTAGCTTTTCCATTGCTAGCACGGTGAGAGAAACTTGACCACATAGATAAGTTCCAGGGCAGTTGATCCCTTTACCTCTTAGTATCGCTAAACAAATGGAAGTCTAGTTGGAATTAAAATAGAAAATACACAGTAGAGGCAGCGATTGTGGCTGTGGGGTTTTCCCCCGCTGATGCCTGTCTTTCCTGCGAAGTTCTGCTGATCAGGTCAGTTTTCTGTTGAAATAACTTTTTCCTACAATACAAACTGTCTTCATTATGCTTATTTCTTTCATTCCAGCTTTTCTGTTGGTTCATTAGCCAATCATCAGGAACCTAAGGATTTGTTCAAGGGGAAAAAATAAAAGTAAAAATCTGCTTTTGTTAGAAGTAGTATCAGTAGTTTGTTTAAGGGGGGGAGAAATACTGTCAGGTACTGTATAGCATTTGTTAGTATTGCATATAAATGCAAGGAATCTTGATCTTCATAACTAAGTAAGAATGAGCTGTGTCTTTTTCTTGTTTGGTTGGTTTTGGTTTTGGTTTGGGTTTTGTTTATTTGTTTTTAAGTCAACCCCCTGAACTTGTTCCTGCTATCTAGTAACATTAAGGAAAATGCTGTTGGGGCTTTTCCTTTAGGACCTGGAGTTCAAGAAAGTAGATGGAGTTTCTTAAAGGTGCTATCTTCTTACTGAATGTTTTGCTTGTGCCTAAAGGATGTGTGTTGTAACAAAAACTCAATCTAATGGTTACGTTGCATTTGTCATTCAGGTGGATTTGCCTGGTATTTTAGGGTGATACTTTTCTTACGGTCAGGTTATTGTCAGTTTTCTCCATGCATGTTGAGGCAGATCATGTTATTGAGCACGTTTTCATTCTCACCATCTTTGCAGTCAAGAATTATTGTA